TAATATACCGTATAATCGAAAAAAAACGCCGTTAGGGATATGGCTATGAAATGAAGATCGCTGTTATTTTTTATATGTAAAATTATATAGAGAATGGCATTGATCATCATTTCCAAGCTAACTGGACGCCATTTTTCTCGATCGTATGGTATTTACGTGCTTGAATTATACACTATAAGACAATAATTAATAAATTGGGAGGGAGATTTATTTATATTTGTACGTTCGAATCATTCGTTCAAATCATTTTCGCTGGTATCCAACAAAGACTCGATATTACTGTCCCCTTCGTCATTCATCATAGTTCAAAAATTGAGAAATATTTAAAATAAATCCACGATAAATATCAAATAAAACTTTAAGCTTCAAAACGTCGTCAAAACAACAGATAAATAAACTTTCAAAATTAAAAAGAGAAATGGCTAAAGGAATTTAAAGTCCAGAAAAAAGCAATAATCTGCTGACACACTATTAATGCGCAGGTCAGTCCCTATGATTCTTGCTTTCAGTCTGGTATCGAAATTATGGTCCCGGAATCGATTCACTAACGGTGACAACTCTCGTTGGAACGCAAAAGTTATCGTTTACTAAACGATATTCTAACGATTCTCCCGTGATTGGAACGCTTTTTCCCCACTGCGCAGAAGCATTAGCGTACCGAATACGGTTCTCTCCGTCGCGTCGTTGGAACGAAACTATTAACTTATACCATTTGGATTAAGTCATTAACCTCTTATAATAAATTACTGAACTTTTTATACATTGTTCAAATTTTTTGTAAGAGAAATGAAGAACCATTGTAGGAACAACACACATTTTCAATATAATAAAAATTTGCAATTTATGCTCCGAACAAAAAATTGATACGATTATACTGTCAACACACATCCTGCATTACGTTTCATTTTCATAAAGTTTTTGCAATATATTTTTTTCATAGTCCGATTCACCTCGTCTCGCTAATGAATCGCCAACGGTTGCACTATACAATGTTTATCGTATCAGAGAACAAAACAAACAAAATTTGCAATTTCATCGTAACTAATTTGATATACATCTTAATTAAATGTAATGCAATATCGGGTGATCGAAATTGTACACTCGTATCTTATTATGTTACACTCCATTCCTTATAGGATAAAGATTGTAATCTATCATTCTGAGAAATAACTCATTTTATATTTATTCTCTACATTTTATTTAATTGTATGTACTTAAAATTTTATGGTGTTGGGATTGCTGAAATCGTTTTGGGAGAATATCATTCAATCCAGGTTCGTTGACTATATTAATAAAGAAAGTAATAAGTTTTATTTGTTGTTTCTTGGGTGTTGTGGCTTGGATCAATTAAAACAAAAATCTTTTGTTTTTACATTTGATACACGACGTTTCGCATTTAATATAATGCTTCTTCAGGAATATTTTTTTGTCTTTCCTATATACATACAATATATTACAAATACTATTCCTGAAGTACCATTATCTTAAATGCGAAACGTCGTGTATGAATAAAAACAAAAGATTTTTGTTTTAATTCATCCTAGCCATAACACCCAATAAACAACAAATAAAATTAATTATATAATGACTAAAAAGAATAATTACTTTCAAGAAAGAAAGTTGTTGAAACTGTGGTTGTTGTTTCCAAACATGCACCCATCCATCTACTCGTATCAGGGCTGGATGGGGCAGTGGAAACCAGCCTGGGAAAAACAGGCAACCGGCCCAAATTCACAAAAACAAAATGACCATAACGAAGAAACATATTTTATTTATTAATATATAAGTAAGGGTGTTTTTCGCTCGTGCGAAAAAGCTCTTTTGCCTCCGGTTTTTTTTTAATTAAATTGTCTTGAACAAAATTTTCGTAAAGACCAATATTGGGTCCGACATTTGAATTTTTACTACAAAATGGTTTTACAGGGTTCTACTCCTTGGCCCAGTTTTACAGGGTTTTATTTCTATTATCGATAACGGTAATTTGATCTTGAATAGGCTACGATTTTGAGTTACGATTTTGAGAAACTTTAAGACTTCCTGATTCATTCAGTTCAGCTGACCCAATCCTCTGTGAAATACATTACTTTTAGTTTTTCGAGTATACATATACCCGAACATATATACACGTTGTAGAAAGAAATTCTCTCTTTTCTGCTACAGCAGCAGCCTGCTTACCTCTTTGTACACGTTTTTTTAACTGAATGAACCGCGGTCGCCATTAAAACTGCAGCATTTTTTAGGTTATTATATAGTTCTTATCACGAAACTTTTCCTCTATACTTTTCTACATTTGGCATCTTGTATGATAATGCATTTTTTTAATCAAACGAAAAAAACCTAGGCAATACATAGGCAGTGGATATCCACTGCAAATTTTGTTTGTTTTGTTCTCTGATACGATAAACATTTTATAGTGCAACCGTTGGCGATTCATTTAGCGAGACGAGGTGAATCGGACTATGAAAAAAATATATTGCAAAAACTTTATGAACACATATAGGTACCTATATGTGTTCTGATATAATGCTATGTTACAGTCCATAATAAGAATATTTGGATTTTCGAGATATTAATATTTTATTATCTAATCTAATTTAAACCTTATTTAACTCGTCTCTGCTGTCTCAGTAATTTTTAGCAAATTAATTTAACAACAATTTACACTTGGCTTTTAGTTCTCATACTTTATTTAATAAAGGCTCAGCTTTTAGTCCGTCCCCAATTCAAGCTAAGCATAGATATGTATGTATATCTCCGTCAACCGCAGAGTTCGCGTCAAATTCGTCTATCTTTTTACAAAGGGGAGCTCGAAAAATATTGCACCGAGGCTCCCAGTTGTCAATATATATATTTCGTATGGCAGCAAAGGATACTATTCACAATATAAACAATAACAAAACATACACACAACCACACACACACACACACACACGTGTTGTCATCAAACATGAAGTCCAAACAAGAACAATACAATGTAAAAATAAAAAATATGTACATATAAAAATTACGAAATAAAATAAAATTTGATGAAGTGACTGTGGTGGGTTAAAGGTGGATGTCTAGTGCCTTCATCCAGTCAACTGCCTCCTTGGAAGCTTCATGTATGTCAGACATTGTTCCCGGAAATTTTCGCAAGGGGCATTCTGTGACAATATGAAATGTTGTTTGTTGTTGGTGCCCGCAATCACAGCTAGCATCGTCTGATATTCCCCACTTGTGCTTCATATACTGGCATCTTCTGTGACCAGTATGTATACGGTTAAGGGTCGTCCATGTTCTTCTGGGGAGGTTGAAACCCGGGGGCTTGTGTCACGGATCGATAATTAAATTTGCCGAGTCGGGGTTTGACGTATACCATTCATTCTGCCAGGCTGTTTGAGGTAGAAAATCTTCACGGATTAGTCTTTCGCCCAGTTTCCAAGAAGCTCTCCTAGACTTTAGCCTTTGCCTTTGGTTATCTAGGCAATCTTGGTGTAAAGGTAAGTCAGGATCTGCAGAACATTTTTCCCATTCTTTTTTTAGTGCTGCTTGGCGACGTATTTCCGGGGGCTCAATATTTGACAGAACAGGCAACCATTGTGTCGGTGTGGACTTCATTGTGCCTGATATAGTCCTCATAGCTTCGTTGAGCTGTGTGTCAATAATATTTGTGTGAGCACTATTGGCCCACACAGGACAGCAGTACTCAGCGACTGAGTACACGAGTGAAAGCGCTGTAGTTTTTAGGACTGGTGCGTTTGCTCCCCAACTTGTTCCAGATAGTTTGTGAAGTACGTTGTTTCTAGTTTTCAACTTGGAGGCTATTTTAGTTAGATGTTGTTTATATGTTAGGGAGCGATCCAATGTCACGCCAAGATATTTTGGGAGATGGTTGTATTGCAGTACATGATTTCTGAATTCAATCTGCGGCCTGTAGTTCGCATATTTATTGCTTAGATGGAACGTAGTAGATTCTGTTTTATTTACGTTGATCTTGAGCCTCCATGTATGTAGAAACGTTTCTAGCATTTGCAAATCACTAGTGAGCACTGCCTCCGAACTGTTAAAATCATTCGATTGGGTCACTAGGGCTATGTCATCGGCGTAAATAAACTTTCGTGCTCTCGTTTCCGGTAGGTCAGAAATGTATAAATTGAAAAGGAGCGGGGCCAGCACTGATCCTTGTGTTAATCCGTCATTTAAATTATATAGCTTGCTTACATTTCCATTTAGGTGAACTTGGAACTTCCGGCTAGACAGCATGCTATTTAATAGTTGTGCAATTAGCTTACATGGTATCACCCTTATGAATTTTAGGACCATTCCTTTTCGCCATACCGTATCGTACGCCGATGTTAGATCGATGAACACAGCCACAGACTTCTTCTTCTCTTGAAATCCCCTCTCTATATGAGTTGTTAGCGCTAGAACTTGGTCGCTGCAACTTCGGTTTGGTCTGAAACCGGCCTGTTCTATAGGAATCTGTTCTAAGATAGTTGGTGCCAGTCTATTATACAGAAGTCTCTCCAGCAATTTGTAGCAAACACTCATGAGTGCAATGGGCCTGTAATCCTCAGCGTTGTGTCCAGATTTAGATGGCTTTAAAATGGCTACTACCTTTGTCCTTTTAAATAGCTTCGGGAGCCTGCTTGTTTTATTATTTCGTTGAACAGTTCGGCCAGCCCACTGCACAACATTAGGGGCCAGCATACTTAAGGAACTCGGGGTAAATGCCATCAAAACCAGCTGCTTTGCCCAGTTTTATATCACGTATGGCTAAGAGCATTTCTTCAGATCAGATCTCTCTGGAAAGTTCGGATGGCTGCGCTTGTAGCATTTTGGATGTTCCCTGGATTTTTGTTTATCGTTATCTTTCGGTGTTCTCGTTAGGTTGACAATTCTGGCTCCTATTTTGTTAGGGTTTATTTTCGACTCGATGTTGTTGGTTGGTATGCTACTTCCTAATTTTCTTAACAGATTCCAAGCTTTTTTACTCGAATGTTGAAAATTCATATTTTTTGTTAAGGTGCACCATTTCTCTTTCTGGCCGAATCCAAGGCCAAGATCAGTTCGTCTGCCACGTCAGAATCCTGTGTCGACTGAAAGTCGTCATATAGTTCTTGGCATCTTGGGCTCCATCCAGGGATATAATCCTTCCTAAAGCCTCTTGGGACATGCTTTTTGGCAATAGAGTGGATAAGTCCAACAAAACGCTCATAGGAGGCTGGCTCCGGAGGGATCCATTGGATATTAAAATCCAATTCTTCGGAAAACTCCTCCAAATTGGCTTTTTGAAAGTACCATCGCGGTTTTGGTATGGATCTCACTATGGGGATTTGGAGGCCAATATTTATCAGGACCGGTCTGTGTTGACTCCTAGGAAATCCGCTCAGTACTTCCCTACTACTATGTAGCGGCAGTCCTTTGCTGTCGAGAGTAGTAAAACAAAGATCAGGGTTGTAATCTTGTGCCCATCTGGCCGAGTGAAAGGTTCCTTTATCCTTGGCGTCAAAAAGTAAGAAAAGGTTTTCTGTTTCAGCCCAATCAGAAACTCTGGCCCCATCATCATTTGTAGCTCTATCGCCCCATTTTGTATTTTGGCTGTTAAAGTCGCCTATAACTAATCCCGGATGTTCGATATTGTGTATATAGTCATTTATCCATGGTTGTGCTGGAGGCTTATAGACATTTATAATTTCAGTATCGGCGACTTTCAACCTGATGACATAGATGTTGTTGTCCGATTGGGTTCTAATATGTGTTACAGTTGTAATGTCATTTTTAATGTATGTTGCAGTGCCATATTTCGGGTGATATGTAGCAGCAGCCAGTGTAAATCCTGGGATTTTGCATCTAGTGTTGAGCTGAGATTGATCCGAGCAGTGCGTTTCCTGCAATAAAACAACATCCACCTTATTTTCTGTCAGTATCTTAGTAAGACAGTCACTTTTTGGTCTGCTTACGCCCTCTATATTCAGTTGTAAGATCCGGAGGGTATTACCCAAGTCCTTTGTCAGGTAGTTCCGAGAGGAACTGTTTTGGATCATATTGTCGGAGTTATAGTTGTGGTTGAGTATATAGTTGTCAATTTACGCTACCATATTCTTAGTATACATTTAGATCCAGACTATTTAAATTTACCTAATGCTATTCATTCTTTTTTTTTTGCTGCCAGTCAGTCATATTTTTATTAGTTATTAATAAAAGAATAGTGGGTAAAACTATACAGGGTGAGTCTTACATAAGAGCAAATATTTTCAGATGTGGTATATTTCGACCCCAGGAACACGCCTATGAGTTTTTTTCTTTTAAATTTTTCGAGCATTTTCTTTTAAATTTTCCTGTATATTTTAGAAAACTTTTTAGAACTTCCTGTTCACCGCAAATTTTCCCACGGTAGGTATATTTTCTTAATCTCTGATATTACGGCACTAAAAGAGATGCAAATACAGAAAAATTGAGGTGGCTCAATTTTTTAAAAATAAATCTATTTTTTAAATTTCCAAACTTTAATAACTCGATTGGACTTATTTGAAACTCGATAAAGAGAATAGTATATTATGTTTATTTTGTGAGATCTAGCCCTGAAAATATTTGCACTTATAGACTCACCTTGTACAATAAAAATTTTCAAACCGAACAAACAACAGATGATTATTAAAATTATAAGTGTCCCAGAGAAAGACATTTTACAATAGTTATTTTACAAATTGGTGTTTATGTTTAAAAGCAACTGACGATTATACTGATGCAAATTAATTAGTTCGTTATGGATTTATGTTATGGACACTAAGGATCTTACGTCACTTTAGTTAGAAGATTAACCATTTAATTTTTTGCCCATCTTTCCACTGGCCCACCGGGGATTTTCCTGTTTTCCCGTATGGCCCATCCACCCCTGACTCGTATCATCTAACGTCGCTTAATTTCTGTGATCAATCGGGAACCGGTGTTTCGACGTATATAGTCTGTCCAACGACAATATACTTGACAGTGGTAGATATGTCTGTAATTTTAATTTCAAAAGTAGTTTATTTTATTTTACAAAGAAATAGAAGTTGTAGTACCATTGAAGCAGGAAGTAATATATTTAAAATTTTAGTGACAAATTATTACTTCAAAATATTATGAAAAAAAAAACTGTAAGACTGAAAAAATCTAATCGGGTTATTCAATCTTTAGTCTGGAATGCCTAATTTGACACAAATTGTAACTTATAACCTGTACTTTGGCAAGAGTTTGACAACTATCAAAAATCTTAAGTCGAATTCATACGCATCTGCGTCCGTTCGTCGTTCATTGTTCCGTCGCTCCAATCGTGTTGAAATATAATCTTCATTCAAGTCATTTTTCAAATAAACCAATAAGACCGGTTAAAAGAACAGATACGACATGACAGACATACAAGGTGGTCCGAACTGTATTCGGAAAACTTATATATAATAAGTAAAAAGTTCGTATAGTGATGTATGTCCTAAAATGTCCTTATTTCGATTTTTAATAATTACTGAAGTAACGTCAATATTTGGAAGAAAATTGGCGTCTGGAAGTTTTTAACACGAAATTTGATTTTGATGTCAATATGAGCTCCCTATTTGTAGGGCACACCACCTACATGTGTATTAACTGTTTTTGAAGAGTAATTTTGCGTCCATTGCCCGTATAAAAATACCGAGTAAAAAAATACATTTCCGTGATTTTTTACGTAAAATGTGTCTTGCTAAAAATCGCTTTAAAAAAAATTGCTAAAAAGGTGGAAATAGAGAATGGAAATAGTCAATATGTCATTATTGACAAAATTAAATATGTTGAGTAGATTTGACTTAAATGAAATAAATTTAGGAACTTTTTTAATTAATCATAAAATTTTCTTCGAAAAATAATGACAAAACAGTTTTTGTTGAACTTTTGGCACAAAAACATTTCAAATTTATGATTTGAAAAAATACATTTTTCTTATATTTTTTGTACGTATCTATCGAATAAAAGTATGTACGAAAGTGACAGTTCTCTGTCATTTCAATTCAAAAGTAAACTGATCTTTTCTTGGAATATGATTGTAATATTTTAAGATAAATTATATTTAGCTCTTATTAAACTAAAACTTTATTTTAAATATAAAATGCTTTAAAAATGTAAGTACCTATTTAATGAGCTGCTTCCAGGTAGGAAACATCTCAACGTGGCATATTTAGAAAACGAATACTAGTCCAACGTTGTGGAAAGCCAGTTAGAGCGAAAAGGTCGCCATCATGAAGTTCATTTGTATAACGAGTAGCGACAAGCAACCACACACACATATATGCTCTTTCACAACGGCTCTGCCTGGCTCGTAGTCTAAATCCGCCATTAGCATGGATACTAACTGGCAACGGGCTACAAAGAAAACGAAACTCAAGTACGCTGTTTGTCGATGTCAATAACGAAGCTTTGTGTGCCGGGGCTGGAGTTCGTTATTTTTCGTAAAAGCTCAAGCTTTTTGCCACAAACTGCGATGGAAAATACAACCTTTTTGTTTATAAATATTTTCTTTTGATATGCTCGCGTATGGCAAATAAAAACATGTAGCTAATGAACTAACTGTAAGTCTGTGCCACTGTCAACTGGAAAAAAACAAGTATATCAAAGAAAAAGGAATAAAACATGTTTTTGTTTAAAATTTAATGTAGCGCAATTCTATCATGCTTTTTAGAATAATTACCAAACATTTTCCTCTTTCAATTCTTTAAGGCCACTTTGCCTAATATAATTTAAAATATCCAAAATTTACAAGATACAGAGTATCCCAAATAAAAATATAATTATGGCTTTTTTAAACTTAGACACCCTGTATATTATTCTAATTTTAGATTCTACAGGTGGAAATAAAGGTAAATTTGCTTATAGTTTATCACACTTAAATCTTACCGTTTTGAAATATTTTCAATTTTATGAAATTGCAGTAGAATTTTAGGCTTCATTTCTCCAAAAGGTATCAAAGTTTTTAATACTAATTATTTATTTAAGTTTATTGATCGAATATTGTGTTGCAATAATAAACAAAATACTACCTTATACAGAGTGTCTGAAATTTTATATTAAATAATTACCAGATTTGAACAGCAATAACTTGTTTAATTTAAATAGGGTACAGAACAACATCAGATGCGCAATTTGTCTATCAAATTGAATTATGCCATTTTTTACCTATCTCTTCAAGTTTTCGTAGAAAATGCATTTTCTTATAATTTAGGCCTCTCCTAATAAAACTAATTCTATCGCCGAAAAGAAAGCTGTATATTTATTCCACATGATCATCCACCTACATAGTTTTTTACATAGACAATATTAAATTGACAGGCTACAACCCCGTTTGCCATCCATAGATAACTTTATATTTTTCTTGACGTTTGACATTTAACTAATGACAGATGGATGTCAGAGTTATCGTTTGTCAATTGCTGTGCGCCTCCTTGCCTTAAATCGAGACGCAATTGAAATGTGCTCGAAGATCTCACAATTACTTCCAATGTTTTAATTAATAATCAGGCGGTTTAATAGCCCTTAATTTGGTTGACTGATCAGTGATGATTTTATTGTGGAGTCTTCAATGTTTTCGTTAATCTATTTTAATGTAGTTTTTTGAGAAGGTTTTTTTATCACGTTGAGTAAGTTCTTTATACCTGACTTTTATAACCTTTTTTCTGTAACCTGCATTTCCATTTCAGTGTCCTGAGGATGGAATAAATAAATTCCGAAAGCTTGACCATTAACAAAGTGTATTAATTCTAGTCCAAACCCTTCCGACTGCAACCCCACTAGTTCCTAGTTTTTCTTTATCACTAGTCAGTCGATACTGTCAAATACCGTATGATCGAAAAAAAAATGGCGTCCAGTTGGCTGGGAAATGACGATCGATGGCATTTCCCATATAAATTTACATATAAAATGACAGCGATCTTCATTTCATAGCCATCGCTGACGCCGTTTTTTCTCGATCATACGGTACTACTATCTGCTTTATTCCTAAATATGTATGTAATTAGCTCAGAATAACATACCAAATAATTCTATCGCTGTTTGCTGACTTGGAAAGTACATCTTCACTGCCTCCTCTACTAATAGTTTTAAACCCATGGTAAATTAATAGAAAGAAATGTATTTTTAGCCAAGGTAATCGCTTAGAATAAAAGTGATAAAATTAATGACCCAGACTTGTAAGAATGCAAGTTTATTATCTTAACCGTTACGGTAAATTATTGTTTAATGTTTTGTACAACTGAAAGTAAATGTTTCAGATAAAACTACATTGTCAACTCATTAATATCGCTTTATCTAAATCAAAAGTTTAATCAGAAATCATTTCTTACGCGTCTTTTTCTTCACATGTTTACATTGTATTTACATATCGCCTGTTTTGTTGAGATAAACTGCCGTTTCTTTTTTATGTTTACGGTTAGTTATGATATAATTATTGAATAGTTGGATATTCTATGTGCATATATTTGATTACAATAACATAACTTTTGTGTCTTTTGAGTTTTTTTATTGAAATAATTATACTCTATTATATAATTAACTAATAATATGGCATAATATAATAATATGATAATAATAGTATGCATATTATTAGATCGGACTTTCTCTAGAAGATTCTAGCACTTTGGCTGGGTTTAAGGAGCATCTCATTGTCTTGTCTCTGGTTGTAGTGGCGTGGCCAGGGGACTTTGAAAGCTTAGTGACAATTCATGAATATATAACTTGCTTCTATAAATGCGGAGGGGGCTCTGGAGTACAGAGACGACCTAAACACGCAGGTTTAATTGACGCCAGATCCCGGGGCTTGAATGAAGGGATATCTCATAGATTCGAGACTGTCATTGTCAGGTCAGTTAAAATAGACAGATTGTCTATACTCACTGGATATTGGTTGGAGGGAGGGGTGGGCCTGTGAATTCAGGCTCTTCAGAGGAGGCCTAATATCTCTGCCAAGGTTAGTTGACACATACTTCACTCATTAAATTGCAAAATTGATTTCAATTAATACCAAAAACTAAAAATAATTATA